ACAGGCTTCAGTAGAAGCTGCTGGGACTCCCAGCAGCTTCTACTGAAGCCTTCACGCTCCCATGTTTTTTTTGTGTTGCCATAAGTTAGTCTCTCTCCGTTGGTGCGCGGGTCTAATGCTAATAATGCTAATGCCAGCAAATACAATGGCGGCTTCACAAAACCTTTCAGAGTTTTATGGGGTGGGGTTTGCAATTCGCCCAGCCAATCAGGAAAGTACCACCTCTCTAGCAGGGACTAAAAAGGGGGTAAAACTTCTCCTGGACTAAGTTCTCTTTTTGGTGTGAACGCAAAATTCCAGGAACTAAACGGGAAAAGTACGGGAAAAGTACTCCGGTGTGAAAGCGCCTAAAGTGCTTCAAAGCCTGGCACCCCTTATGTGGGATTAGTAGGACTCAACATTTAGTTTCCTCAATAAATGATCAAACATTGAGAAAGCCCAGAGCCCAACCTGTGCTGTGCCTCTCCCTCCTGATAAAGGTTGTTTCAGTCAGTAGCTCTTTGTCTGGCTGATACAAATCTGTTAAATCAAACACGGTCACATTCCCTTTAACCTTCAGCTTATTTACACAGCTCAGTGCTGCTCACTCTGACTGAACGCTTTGTCAATAACTCCAGTTTGTACTGCTTTCCTCTTCCTGTTAGATCTGCAGCTTAAACGGCTACACTACACGCTTTAAAGAAACATAAATCATAGAAATGAATCACCTTTTAAAGAATACCATGGTTGTGTGTATTTTTTCCAGACACAACATTTTACAAGTTGCAATCACAGTTCGACACTTTGAGATGTGCAACCAAAGGTTATTTTAATTATCAGTTAAGCTGCTGATTATTTCTCAATTGAAAATAATTGTTTTGGTCTTTAAGATGTCTGTGAAAATTACGTTTTTTGGACTGTAGATTAAACGAAACTAGCAAATAAATGAGGAGAAAACATCAAATTTGAGAAGCTGGAACGACTGATTTTCTTGCTTAAGCAATCATCCAAATTGTTGTTGAATAGTTTTCTGTTGACCGACTAGTCAACTCATTATATCTGCTCAAGCCACACGTCTTTTTGTTTGTGGTGGTGTGGCTTAAATCTAATTTAATTAGCAGACATTTTTTTCAACTCTGAACTAAATCACCCTGCATGAATGTTCTGATGATCACACCCTCAGTCACTTTGAGTCATTACTTTTTCTAAATCTAGGTTGTCTCAGTTTAGATAAAAACACATTTTGAAAGAAGTGTTTTTTGCCAGAGGTACAAACAGCCTGTCTGAGTCACCGCGCCTCACATCTGCCTCCCTTTCAGTCGGTCAGAACGTCACCCCGGGGACGTCTCACCCAAAGAGGAGTCAGACCACCACGGCGGAGAACAGCGCCAAGGAGGAAGGAGGCGTCCAGCTGCGTAAGCCCAGCACCCCGGGGGGCCGCCCGCCCGCCAGCCCCCTGCTGGGCAACGCCAACAACCCCAACAAGGCCGACATCCCCGACCGCAGGAAAGGCGCCACAATCACCCCCGCCGTGAGTTACCTTATCAGATCAAATACTAATTGACCTCGTTTATCCTGTGGTTAAAGTGGAAAACCTAATTAATCCTAGCAGAGTTAAATAAGTAACACAAGCCAAGAGCAAGCATCTTTCCAGTGTCACTAAAAAGGATCTGTTGTATCTTCTCAGACCTTAACATATTCCAAACACACGGTTCTATCTGGATGAAATATATTTCTAATCCAAAAAGCTATAAACTGTGTGAAATATAAAAGAAACTGTGGTTGTTAGAGAAGTGTTTTTGTATGTGTCATGTCGTGCTTATGGTTCCTGTTTTTTTATGTATAGAAAATGAGTTTGTACAAATTCTTGATGGTTTGGAAAAGGATTAATTTGAGCCGTTTCAGATTTATAAATATGCTTGATTTTTGAATATCTTCCTATGAAAGTCTTTCTTTTCAACACCTTAAATGATTGGATTTCTACTCATGTAAAGTAAACAAATGCTCTCTTGTTTTTACTTTACAAACAAACCTATTATATCAAATGTCTTACTTGAAACAGAGTCCTCCATCGTGTGCTTTTATATAAATTGAGTGCCTCGTCTGATTCCCTCTCCAGAATAACACTGCGTCGGCAGGAATGACCCGGAGGAACACGTACGTCTGCAGCGACAGAAACAACGCTGACCGCCTCTCAGTCATCCCCAACGGGAAGGAGAACAGGTGAGAGGATGTTTGACCTGGTTTCATCACAAAGCAACATCAAATCTGTGTCAGCTTAGAGTACAGAAAGGTGACCCCTAAAAGCTTTTAGTTAATGAACGGTTTTTATTGAGATTATCAACCCTTTACGTTATTGTAGAACCTTTTTAAATAAAGGCCAGTATGTTTTATTTAGAGCTCTTTCTACCCAGCAAGGCTAGTGAATATGGAAAAACACAAACAGAAGCCCTCTTAACTCACACAGAACCCTGCATTTCGCATTTGAGGGCCTGATTCATCCAAGCAAACTAAATCTCTTTTGGCACAAAGTACAGAAAGCTGACACTTGAAAGCTTTTATAAAAAAAACTGCTTTTTCTTTTCTAAATTCATTTTTTTTCATTGTGCAACCTATTGTTCTACTTTTATTTCAAGCTTTCTCTTTTTCACAAGGGAAAGGTTCAAGAGCTGTCATTTGAGGTCCTTTGTGAATCCAATGCTTATGATGGTCGACTACAATGCTAACTAATATGCATACACAAACATATTAGCCTCCTCAACTCATACCGAACTCTAACAGCAGCGTTTCACAACTTGAGGCACATTAATTTGTAAAAGGGAATTCAGAATCCTACGAAAACATTTCCTTTTAAGTTTCATCCTTTTTTATTTCTACTCTTTTTTTCTTGTAATCACTTTCCCCCTTTCTCATCATCTTATTTTTTTTGTTTCTGCCTGTGTTTCTGGTTTGGTTGGGGGTTTGTTTTCACTGTGGCATGAGCAGCATGAGCGAGATGGCTTGTGCCACTAGCCCCTCCTCCTCCTCCTCCTCCTCTGGCTTTGCGGCCGCTGCGTTCGCGGCCTCGTCCAGCTCGGTGCGGCTGAGGTATCAGAACGTGGGCCCGTTGTACATGGGCCAGGCGGGCTGGGCCACGCTGCCCCACTCCTACTACGCTCTGGACTACTACTCGCCCAAGTAAGACGGCAGGGCTTCCAAAACCCCCCACCCCCCGTCTGTCTCATGCCTCAGCCCCTCTCCGGCCCCTCGCTAACCCTCACATCCAGCCAGCTTCACTCTGTAACCCGCCACTAAACCATGGACACCATTTCCTGCAAAGAACAGAAAGGAGGGCCACTTAGTTTCTGGTTGTCAGTGTCTGAAATGTATGCTCATCGGTCACAAGCAGGTGAAGGAAAAATACATTTTAAAGGAGTGTTCCTGCGAATGCTTGAATAGTCTTAGGTCGAGAATACGTTGTGCCAAAAGGAAGTCATTGTCACAAGGAAAATGTTTTTTTCTAGCATGACAGCATGACTCATGATAAAAAAAAAAACAGACCAATTAGTCTTGATGAATAGTAGTTAATGGTGGCTGCATATAACAACAACAAAAATATATAAAATCATCTGTTAACAAACACATTTTGCAGTATAATTCAAATCGACTTAACAAACACGAAGTGGCGAAGTCGATAGGGACTTGGCTTGGCAACTGGAAGGTCAACAGTTCAAGTCCCAGAAAGACCAAGTGCTACCGAGGTGTCCCTGAGCAAGGCACCGTTCCCTCCACTGCTCCCCGGGCGCCTTACATAATGGCAGCCCACTGCTCCTAACACTAGGATGGGTCAAATGCAGAGAAACAATTTCCCCACAGGGATTAATAAAGTATATCAAAATCAAAAATAAATAAAAAAATGTTCGTTTGTTACAGCAGATAAAAGAGCCACAGTTAACTAAGAAGCAGGCATGAAAAAAACCAGTTCTGAAGACATAGAAGCCAGGTCTACATCG